GTGCAAGTTAATTTTAACTATTGGCCAGTTTTCACTGAATATGATTATAAACAATGAATTGAAAAACGGAACATCGAATTGCTTTCGTCACATCATGGTCATTATATTTCAGTAGCGAAGCGGTAAAACGGTTTAAGTCGATTTTGACTATTTACCAGTTTTCAATAAATATCACAGAATGTAAGGGAGATGGCAAAATTTTTGACATAACCTTTTCTATAGCACTCAATTCGCTCTCCAAAAAAGGTCATTACAAAAATTTCATTATCTCCCTTGAATTCGTAGATATTCCTCAAAAACTCAGATGAGAGCTAAGTCAACTTAAACCGTTTTACCGCTTTCCTACTCATTTCTCCTAATAAAGTTGCAATTTGCTTGCGAACGGAATACATCCTTTCTTGTACATTTGATTCATCATGAGACGCGCCTCAGAATTCGTCTCGATGAAACATGAATGGATTCTTTAACTGCCGGCCACCGAGTTTGTTGTGCACACAACACGGCTATTTGCTCCCCCCCGTGAGCGTGATAATCCCCGCTCGCTCGCACCTCAAACTAGCCCGAGATTTCAATTCCATACAAGTGCCATCCTCCTTTTACGGCCGGTGGCTCGCCTCACAACCACGCATTCACTGGCTCGAGTTATAGAGCGGGCTCTAGTCTTCACGATAATACAAAATTGAGGGATTGCCGCGGTGGCTTGAAGCTCGTGTTCCCTGTCAAACTTAATTTCACGTCCAATGAAATGGTCTCAGTGCTTAATGCCCACGCGAGTAAATCCGTTTACTGCTACCTTCTTCGTTGGGCGCTGCATATGGTGGTGCGCTCGCCGTCCTTCTCTCATTTTTCCCCAAATGTACTGGGTCCTGCGCGGGCTTCCCCGTATTCACAGATAAATTGGTTCCGTGGGATTTCTAAGGTCCCCCGAGGGCAGGAAGTCCGAGGGGTTGGCCTCTTTTGTGCCTTTCTCCCTTTCAAACTCAAAGTCTCTTTTTGGCCTTGTGGTTGTGCCGCACTTTTTTCGGCCTGCGATGTCGTAAGTGTGCGACTGTAGCGACAATCACACGGCGGGGCACCCAGTGGAGCCAAAATATGCGGGAAAAAATGATGGAGATTTGGTAAAAGCTCATTTCGAAGGCCAGAGTGAAGTAACATGTGGTGAGCAGTGGAGAAACAGTTCGGGGATTTTCACACAGTGTTCGCGATTCTGGTGGAATCCAAAGTGAGGATCCGTATTTTGATCGGATGATTTATCGGTCCAATATCACCTGCCAGTCGCAAATATCAAATATGATTCAGCAACCCCTAGTGACCAATGTACGAACAACCCCCGCCTCATTTGAGATCCATCAATCGTCAATCAGATATGTCACCCAGCATTCTCTCTCATGATCACTCACATCCCACCCAACAAAAGAACCAATCGACAAACTAATGTCCTCGCCCCGAGACAATCATTTTTCTCCGTTAAAACAGTCCGCATATCCCTGCACTGGCGGGAGAATCCTCAGGCTCATCCATCATGCCGATTATTACCAGCCAAAACCCCGAGCCAAACTCAACCTTCGGGAGATGATAATCGGGCCATGCCTCTCCCATCGTACGTCATTCTCGCTACTGTAGCCAGTTTTCACGTGCCCCAACAAGAGCAAAAAACAGCCCTCCCTGGATGTACAACACCAGGGACCTCAATACCCTCTCCCCCAGTACAGCACGCATTTCCCCGAACGTTAGCTGGTATCCTCAGCTATTCTCGGAGTACTACGAGCCAGAGAGTGAGAGAGAGAGAGAGAGAGAGAGAGGGAGAGAGAGAGAGAGAGAGAGAGAGAGAGAGAGAGAGAGNGCCGATTATTACCAGCCGAAACCCCGAGCCAAACTCAACCTTCGGGAGATGATAATCGGGCCATGCCTCTCCCATCGTACGTCATTCTCGCTACTGTAGCCAGTTTTCACGTGCCCCAACAAGAGCAAAAAACAGCCCTCCCTGGATGTACAACACCAGGGACCTCAATACCCTCTCCCCCAGTACAGCACGCATTTCCCCGAACGTTAGCTGGTATCCTCAGCTATTCTCGGAGTACTACGAGCCAGAGAGTGAGAGAGAGAGAGAGAGAGAGAGAGAGAGAGAGAGAGAGAGAGAGAGAGAAAGAGAGAGGAGAAAAAAAGTGTGTGGAGTTCCTTCGTGTCAGCAGGGTGCAATTACCGGGAATCTCCCCTCGACCACTGAAATTTCTATATGTGACTGGCATGTTTTGAAAATGTTCTTCTTTACAGTTTCACCAGCAATCACTCTTCCACGGTTCTGGTGAAAAATTCGGGATGAAAAAAATGTGTGACATATTCTCCTGTCTTCGGGATTTAATCGGACTAATTTTATGACTAACGTGAATTATTGGAACGGGAGGAGATCAAAGGGGCCGAGAATTTTCCTACCAGGAAGTGCTTCCTTTTGTTTTTTTATGGGGGCAATATTTTTTCAGCATGTTTCGCTCAATTAGTGACGTAATTTGTTCGAAAATAAAACAGGGGAATTATTATCAACTAGTTTTTAATGGGGGATATCGTCACGAGAACAATTACTACTAGGAAAATTATCGTTTTGGTGGACCCTTCTTCTTCGTCCCCCACTAAATTCATTCAGCACGCCAAAAGATCTTCAGAGTAACGTATAATTTTTCGGCGTCAACTAAACTCAGCCCTGAAATCACTCACAATTAATTTCATTCAATAAAATCATTCATCCAGTCCCCCCCAAGAAAACCCAATAATTTCAATTATCATCCTCAATAAATCCATCACCACTCCCGCAAGCATCACTCATATCACCCACACAATGCGTCAGAACTCCAGCGAAACCTCAGAATTCTCACAACTGTCACTCCCCAATCACCGAATAAATAACACAATTATCATGCCAACACTCATTAGATGTTCTTTAATTAAAAATTATAGATAGTGGAGGTCTCGAGCGCTAATGAAGCGATCGTTTGTTTTTCAGTCTCGACGGAGTCTCGCTCCGTCTGCTCCGGGTGAATTAATTCACTCTTTAATTCTCTCTTTGTTTTCCATCCACCCCTACCCCTCCCAGATATAAATCTCCGGGGCCCTTCGACCTCACTCGAGGCATCGTGACCACTACCCCCCCCAACCCACCCCCCCCCCTCTCGCCACACAGTGGGCCCCAACAAGACAACGCTTGCGCACTGGTGGCATCGTATCGGTAATATGTGTATACACACGAAATGGCCCGTGACCGGTTTATACTGGAGTGTGGGCCCTTTCTCAAGATCCCAGGGGCCTGATGCCCGCTCTCTGTACACGGGGGAGGGGGG